TTCTTGAAATAAATAGCTTACTACTGGATGGGGGAAAAATGTATATTTTGTGCTGACAGGTGAGCTCTGAATGCCACCTTGAGCATAATTTTGACTTCTCTAGTCCCAGTTTTCCTTTCTTTTCAGGTTGTCATTCAGCCCTCTTCACTTTGCTTGAGCAAAACTTTTGGAGACATTTCTGTTTGTAATTTAATTTTTTTTGAGAGTAGAGAAGTGCTGAGAGTTAAAAACATAGACTAGGGTTTAAGAGTGGCTGGAATATATCATCATAAACATAGTAAGTTCTGTTGGAGCAGGGGTTATGATTCGTTCATTGTTTTACTCCAGTTCCTGAATGATTGCTCAACACAGTCAGCAGGCAAGAACTACCTTTTAAATACATGGTATTCATCAGTTTTTGTTATCATTATTGTTTTCTTTTTAAAAAATATTTTCTTGATTTTGATATTTCTTTATCATATATGACTTTTTAAACATTTACATTCTTAGGTCACAAGACTGCTCTTTAGACTCTTTATGTGAAGTTGTTTTTGACAGTAGAGGGTTGCTTCCTTGTGGGAGACCAAGAGGGGAAAGGTAAATCATGCTTTTCGATATGGGCTTACGCCCACTTCTGGTCTGATTCCTGTAAAAGTTTGAGGCAGGAGTAAACTTGGACAATAGAACTAGTCTTGGAGGATATAGCAAATCACCCTGCAACAAATTATATAACTGTGCTCTCTTCCTTATTGCTATTACTCTTTAAAACCCTGGAGACAAAATACAGTACTACCTCTCCATTGACCTGAAAATGCTCTTCTCAAACCACTTCAGTATTTTTTCAAAAACGCAGGTCAGATCATGTTATTGCCTCTCTTGAAAACTTGGAATTGGTACACCCCTACTTATAAAACAAAATGTGCATTCCTTGGCATAGCGTCTAAAGTCCCCCACAGGTAGTCCTGTACTCTCTCCAGTTTCATCTGCTTTGTCATTCATCTGCAAGAAACATATTCCAGGCACACAAGATTTTGATATTGTACCATTTGCTTTTTTTGTGTTTGTGCTGTATGTACCCTCAGCCTATGATGACTCCCTTGTTCGTTATTCCCTCTGTGTCTTTGTCCGGATTTTATTCTTATGAGGACACAAGTCATTTGATTAGTGTCCTTACTAATTTAGTATGAGCTCATCTTAACTTGATTACATCCATAAAGACCTTTCCAAACAAGGTCATATTTGTAGGTATAGGAATTAGGACTAGAACCATACGTAACATATGGGTTTATAAATTTTAGAGAAATCTCTTTTGCTTGTCAGCTTTCAAGGGAATAATTCAGACTTTGACTATTGCTTTCTGCTCTTCATTAGTAGTTCCAAAAATAAGGCCTAGTTTCCATTCTAACCAGGCAGATTTTAGCATCATAGAATTTTAAAATCCAAAAACCTCCACTTGTAATTTTGTTTAAAATTTTACAGTAAAAAAAGGTAGGCCATCTTATTTTCTTGTGCTTAAATCATAGTGGGCAAATAATACATGGTCCCCTGAGGCCAGATGTGGTAGTGTTTCCTTACTCTCAACAAAGGCAGACAAACAAGATTGTTTTGATTAAAATGCATTTCTCTGAAATGGTCAGTATTTTAAGGCAAACAGCCCAGAGCTTATTGTTTATTGAAGAGTTGCCCTCAGTCATATGGAGACTGTATCATTTGATATTATACCATTTGCTTTTTTTGTGTTTGTGAGTTAGCCTCAGTAAAGTCCCAGGAACTTTGTTCAGGGCTCACAGAAGTTCCATAGTAAGTGACGGTTAGATGTTGAAGTGACTATGAATGAAAATATATTTGTCACGTGACTGCTACTACTAACTCAAGCCCTGTTAGTGTGGTAGGGAAAGGAGCTGGCGGAGTGCTGGGAATCTCCCTGGATTATCTCCTTTAATCTTCACAACATGCCCTATGATCTGCTAGGGAGACTTTCCCAAGGCTATAAAACTCGTGGGAGGCAGAGCTCAGATTTGATCCCAGGCCTGTCTTATTCTGAAACCCTCATTTAGTGGCCTTTGTCAGGTCTCTTTTTCCTTTACCCAACTGTGCAACTGTTAATTCCCTCTGCTAATAATAGAGATGATGAATGTCAAAATTATGGTTGGGTGTTAAACTAAAGAAAGTGATCATATGAGAGAAGAATAGAGTTTTCCTTGTTTCTATAAAATACTTTTAAAACATTTGTGTCAAAAAATTGAATAATCTGACATATGTACTTCTCCTGTACCTTTTATTTCCATCTTTTTTGATTGAAAAAGAACATGAAATTTTTAATAAAGTCTTATAATCATTATTAAATTTGAATTATTCCTAGGTAGGCTATCTTTGTTTTAATTGATATTTTGAAACATTCATCGTAAGAATGGAACAACTTGTAAGTTATAATGCTATTTTGGCAAAAATGTAATTATTGGGACAAAATTAAGAGTAAGAAAATATAAGGCAATTACATCTTTGTTGACTTTTTTCACTCACTTCTAATGACTTCAACCTGTGTATTTTGGTTTCTGTTTGTTTGTTTCTTTGTTGTGCTGGGGATGGGACCCACAGCCTCAAGCATTCTAGTTAGTGCCCTACACTGAGCTACAGGCCCAGTCCTTGGACTGTTTTAATACATAATTTCAGAGAGTGTTTTAATGGCCTTTTGTAATTTTAAATTCAGTGGTTTGAGTCACAGTCATCAGACTTTAGGTTGTGACAGAAAATGAACTTCAGGGAATAGTGCTTACTCAGGAATAGCTGGTTTCAAGTGCCAGCAGGAGTCTGTGTCATTCCATTGCTCACCTGCTTTTCCTCCATGTTGACTTCATTTTCAAACAGGCGCTTGCCTCGTGATGGCAAAAATAGCCACCAGCAATCCTGGGATTACCATTTACAAGCTGAGCAACTAAGTTTTGGGACTGGCTCCCATAGCTCAGCTCAGGTCATGTGGCCATGTCTCATTGCCAGATCTAGAACTTGGACTACCTCTGGACTGAGAGTAGAGGAAAAGCGCTTTCCAAAATAAACTTGCCATGCTGTTCTCAAAATTAGGAGAAAAGAATGCTGGGCATAAATTAGAACACAGGTTGTTGAAAGAAGGTACAATCAGAACTTTGTATTTTTTGCTGCTGGGATTTAAGAAAACAAATCTGCTGCACTAAAAGAGCATGTTCCTTTTTAACTAACCACTGCCAGAAAAAGGAAAGAACCAAAAATGCAGTTTGTGATTGGGTACCAGACTTTGTATTGATTTTCTTTAAAAATTACGATATTCATACTCCTTCAAAGACTGTAGAGTCCCTACTGTGTGTCACCCCCTGTGTGAAGTGCTTTATGTATTTTATTTATCTGTACAGGTACTTTGTGAGGTCAGCATTACTATACTCATTGTCCTTAATCAAAGAAGATGAAAGGTCAGAGTGTTTGGATTGAATCCAGATGCGTCTAACTTCACTTACACAGTCTCTTACTTTTACAGTTGTCTGTCCATCTGTTACCTGTCTCTCTTACATCCTCCTCCAGCAGTTCCTGTCTAAGCACCTGGCACCTCGGTTCTGCCTCTTGAAGGTGTCTCCATGCCTCCCTCCATTCCTGTTGCTCTGGCCTTCATTAGGGAGGACCTGAACTCTTCTCATACATTCTCTTTGGCGTACCTGCCTCTAGTCTTAGCCCACCCCCATTTTCCTTAGAGCAGCCCAGCTGAACTTTTAAGCAGTATGGGTCTGATCTTAACAACCGTCTGTTTGCCTCGGCTTCTCCTTGCACTGAGAGCGAGATCCTGCCTCTGCCGCTTTCCACCACCTCGCCACACTCTCCAGGCTCTTTTTGTCATCTCTTCCCCTGGTGCAGCAGTCGTACGCTTGCCACGTTCCTTAGTCTTCATAGTACATTCTTTATTCTCGTTCTCTCTTTAACTCTTACTTCTTCAGTTTTGTCTTTAAATGTCACTTTAAGTCCTCAGGGACTTCTTGCCTCTCCCACTCCTTCAATCTGGAAACCTGAGACTCCCTCACATCCTTTACTTTTTCTTTTTGCCCTTTTGGCAATTTTTAGCTGCACATTTACGTACAATTTATTAGTCTGATATTCCTCATTAAACCTTGGACTCCATGAATGCAAGGACTGTTTGTTAGTCACTGACTCTTTGGCATCTGCCACAGAGCCTCAAATGGGTGATGATTGAATTCATCTGAATGTGCCGAGAGCAGTACAGTTTTCATTATTGCTTTTTCTATAGTTCTCTCACTCTGGTATCATTTATTACTGAAGAATAAACCTGTATTTTCTTCTGAGTAGTTTTGTCCCAGTAGCTTTTGGTCTGCTTAGGAACAAGCTGTGCTTCCTAGCTATAATCTTTAGCACTTCAGATGCTATGCAGTGATGCACTTGGTTTTCAGAACTTCTGTATCAGAGCCAGACATAATAGGGGAAAATAATAATTCAGAATATATAACTTTTCTCAATATGACCTGAGTGTGGGTGGCTGGAAGAGGGAGTGAGAAGGCTCTACTGACTTGTTCCACATGGTCCCCTGCTCAGTGACACAGAAGCTTAAATACTCCTTTACTTCTGGTGTGCCATCCTCAGAACCCAGGCAGCCAAATTTAGCCCTCTCTGCATGTCCTTGCAATTTCTGGCTGCCATCTGTGCCCAAACTGGCTTTGGAAAGAGAAGCTTTCTCTCCAATGATTTATTATTTTAAAGCAGTCTTCCCAACCTTTCTCATGAAAACCGGCAGTACTTATAAGGCACCTTGGCATCCACATTGGAGGCCATCGCCCCTGATTCCTACATACCCCAGGTCCGAGGGGATCACTATCTTTCTCTCTCTCTCTCTCTCTCTCTCTCTCTCTCTCTCTCTCTCACACACACACACACACACACACTCACACACACACACTCTCACACAGGTGTTAGCTGAAACTTACTTGTCCATGATCATCCCAGGTGTTGGAGGTAACCTAATTTCTCTCTCCCTTTTTAATCCACAGTTGGTCATGTTCAGAGTTTGACTTGAGTGACATTCGCCTGATAGTTTACCAGGACTGTGAGAGGAGAGGCAGACAAGTGTTGTTTGATTCTAAAGCTGTTCAAAAGATTGAAGAGATGGCAACTCAGGTATGAAATGCTGATTTGCTTTCACCTTTATCATTTGTGCTTTTAACTGCCTTGTTTTGCTTTTCTTTTAATTAAAAAAAAATTTTTTTTGAGTTGGGGTCTTGCTACATTGTCCAAGCTGGCCTTGAATTCCTGGGCTCAAGGGATCTCTCAGTCTCCTGAGTGCTGAGACTACAAATGTGTGCCTCCATGCCTGGCTTTTAACCACTTCATTGATCCATCACTTATTAATCCATGATTATCTTAAAAGTATATTGCATGCTACTCATGGTTTAGAAAAAAACATAAGCAGACCCCTCTTCCCTAGCAAGCATGCACATGTCCATTAACAAACACACATGAAACTGTTAGTGGGTAATCATGACAAGAGTTGACAGTGTATTTAAATCTTACTGGAGGTGAGTTTGCTGGTCAGTTTCCATCCAGTAGGATTTTTTTATGTCAAGCATGTGCATCAAATGTAGGAAGAAGGCAGAACACTGAAATGCAGAAAGCAATAAAACGTTTGCCTGAAGAGAAGTAATGTATCATTCTTTCCTGTGTTTCTCATAGATATTTAAAGTATTGTATAGTATTAGGTTAAACAAATTTATGTAGCTTTTTAAACATAAAGTGCCCATTTTCATCTTCTAAAAGAGTGTTTTTCAACCATATTTGACCAAGGAAGATTTCATTCATTTAATTTTTTTTTTTTTTAATAGAGAGTGGTATTGGTGAGGTGGGGCAGGGCTTGGAGGGGCAGGGTTAGGCAGGTGAGGGGGGCTAGCTATGGGGATGAAAGAACAGTTCCTTACCCTTTTGAGCCAGAATAAGAAAGGTGAGAAGAGTCTGGTCCTCCTTGAGTCTTTGGCTGTCAGTCCAAGGTACTTCTAAATTATGATCCTTAGGCCTTTCACTCTCTTTTCAGTATTTGTGCAGATGTTTACGGATTAAATACATCCCTTTGTACTCATCCCTTTTATGCTCAGTAGCTTGCTACCCATACTGAACAAATTCTGGCAGTTTGTAGAATGTCTGCCCTAAGTTAATGAGCAGTTTATAGCTTGGTCTTTGTCTCATGGGGCCTAGGGGCCCTGCTTTTGATAATGATCACTTTTGCAGAAAGGAAGTGTTTGAAGGCAGTTTAGCAGGGTGGATTCCACAGCATTTCAGGTGGAATTGTACCAGGTAGCTAATCATTACAGAAGTTGTTGGGCTTGTTAGGTAGGTGGAGGAGCAGGTGAGATGTCTCTTGGTAATTCACTGTAGGTTTTAATTGTGGATTGGAATTAAAAGCTTCGGTGAGCCAGCATTTGACCCTTTATTGGTGGACAGGAGATGGCAACCCCTTTTTCCCTGAATACCTCACAAAGATGGTTTAGTTGAGGACACACGTCCCATCACTAGGGCTGCTGATGATGGAGGGGAAAAATCCTCACTGGTTTTCAAGTGGACTGGAATTGTCAGAATAGCAGAGTAGTGATAACTCTGTAATCTGGAACACAGGCTTTCTTAGAAGCACTTGTTTAATCAAAAAAGCAGCTTAGGTTCAGGAACATTTGTAGGTTTCCCGAGACTACACAGAATCCAGCTGGTGCTCTGCTCACTACCAGGTGCTGTGTCCAATTATAGACTGTTGACTGTGTTGTACGCCAGCCAAAGGGTCCCACAGTCTGTGAAGCAGGTGGGACTTCCTGTCATTTTAGGCCCTCTGAGGGACTATGTTTCTGGCATAAGTGGCATTAAATAACAGCAGTACAACTTTGAATGCCATCATTGCTGGAGTGATTGTTGTGGACCAGCACATTTTATGTTTTCCTTATGTTTTTTTTCCCATTTTCAGCCCCCCTCACCCCCACTTGGCAAGCACAAAATGTCATGAGTTTGTATAAAGCACATGACTGCAGGCATTTGCATTAGACCACCAGTGTGACTGTCACACTGAAGATTAGATAAGCTGCAGTTGCATTCATGGTTTTCCAAGCAAAAGCTGTATAAGGAAAAAAAAAATAGTTCAGAATAGAAACTACTTCTCATAGATGCTGCAGGATGCTTCTGTAGGGAACGATAGCTTCTGGTGGAAGATGAAGTAAAAAATTAATGATGGTAAATCTTTATACCTTCATGTCACTATCATAAGAAATTAGCAGTGAACCCTGTTGAGGGAATATGGAGTAGATAATCCTCTGTCACCTCTAACCTTTAAAGACCATATTTCCATCACATGCTGTGTAATTAACAGTAGCTCCTGTTTCAGGGTTTGGGCTTCATCTTTCACAATTTCAACCTCGTGATTTTCTTTCCTGTTACCTTCAAAGAGGTACTAGAAGAGGTGTGTCATGAAAAACACAAGCCCAGCCTGTCCAAAATAGTTTTGTTGTCTTAGTTCCATTTGCTTGTTTAAAATTTAAACTTAAATCACCATCTTTCTCCTCATCATTTTCATAGTTTATGATTTTACATGATACTAAAGATTTTTTTAAGAATTGAAAACATTCTTTATCATTTGATGAAATACAAAAGCTGGTAATTAAGGAGAATAATGTCTAAATTCACTAGTTTTTGTGTAGTAGCTTCAGTACTTCCCCCTCCCAAATATTGTAGGCTCCAAGGAATCATATTTTTGTCATAATTTTAAAGAAAAAGTCTACGAGAGCTTCTGGTTTTGAATGTAGTGCAGGTTCCTGCACGGTTTGACAAAGGAATTCCCAGTGAAGAGCTTGTTGATGAAGCCTGATATACTTAGTATCCTTTACCTTGCTTGCCTCTCTTAACCCAGAAAACAGAGGATGTCCCTGTGAAAACATCAGCCAAGTGCTGCCAAGGAAGTAGCAGCAGCAGCAGCAGCAGCAGCAGCAGCATCTCTTCCCATAGTTCTTCTGGAGGATCTTTACAACACACCAAGGAGCAGCTTCCAAAGTACCAGGTAAAACATGCCTTCTGTAGGAACACCCCATGGGTTGAAGTAATTTACTGTAACTTCTCCTCAGGGGCTAATGCCTGCTGGAGGGTTCTACTTCAGGAATGTGAGAACAAGTATTCAACAGAGTGATCCTAAATGTTTCACATCAGTGTTGTTTTCACACTTTGTCTTTTATCTCTCTATAAAAATTGTAATCCAGCAGAGATGATACAGCATAATACATACTGAATGAGGAAGAAATATTGCAAACGAGGTAAATTTTTTTGTTTTGTTTCCTTTGCTGTTATTATTATTCTGATCCAGAATAGTAAACCTATGAACTCCTAAAGATTCTTTGAATGCATATGGGCATCCTGAGAAGGTAGAACTTGCCAGTGAAAGAAGAAAGTCTTGTCTAGCAGAAGAAATAAATAGTAAGGCCAAACTTGAGAGTGAAGGTTTGAGGGCTGGTGGCATTCTTTTTTTAAAATTTTATTTATTTATTTGTTTTAGCTGTTGATGGACCTTTATTTTTTATTTATATGCAGTGCTGAGAATCGAACCCAGTGCCTCACGACATTTGAGGCAAACTCTCTACCACTGAGCCACAACTCCAGCCCAGGTGGCATTCTTTTACACTGTGAGTTGTGTGTTTGGGGAGGTAGAGGATAGGAATGAGAAACATAGATACAAAAGTAGAAATGTTTTGTAAATTTTGAATAGTAATGGCAGAAGGGCATTAATTGATGGGTGATGTACCAAACTTTCTCTTTTAAGCCCATGTAGAATCTTGTCTTCTATATTGCTGAAAAAGCAAAGCCAGGGTAATTACCAGCAGCCACAGGCCCATAGAACTGTGTTAATTTCGTAGTCAGGACTTGGGCCATGCATTTGCCCTTATTGTACAGTGCTTTGGGGGGGTCTCAAGTAGTTTGTAATTTAAAAATTATAGAGTGAAATTTTCAGCTAGTTGATAATTACAATTTATATTCCAAGAAAAAAAGCAGATTATAAAATTAAGAAGGTTATTAGTAAATAAGGTGATAGCCAGATGGTTTCTATCTGCATGTGGTGGGAAGAGGTTGATGTGAGCTCTAATCCAACAGAGGAACCTGGTTAATAAGACTGGTTTACTTTATCTTTCCACCTCTGCCATCTTGTGTAAGTAGGTTATATATGTGTGTCAGTGTGTGTATATATACGTATGTGTGCATTTGGAGTTTTAGTAAATGAAAAGAAACACGGGGGCATAGCTTAGTGGTAGAGCATCACCTAGTATGCACAAGGCCGCACATTTAATCTCCAGTGTTGCAAAAAGAAAAAGAAATGAAAACGACTCAGTGGAGAATGTTGAGGATGATCCCCATGTTTTTCCTCAGATAGAAAGCACTCTGTCAAAGAGTCTGACTGATGGGTTGGGGTGCAGGGAATGTTACTTTGTTTCAAGCTATGCTAGGGTGCCTGTGGAACACTGGTTTGTTCAACATTTATTTCTATCCTGTCCATCATTGTGTCCCCAGGACTTAGCATATGTACTTAAGACTGCTATATCCCAAAGGATTCGGATATAGGATTTTAGAGCCTGAGGAGAGGTCTGGGCCTAGAGATAAAAATGTAGCAGGTATTCCTATGTGCATAAAAATCAAAGTCAAAAGAATGTTTGATTGAAAATGCAGGCAGTGAACAGAAGTGCCCTCCAGGGAACAACCATGTTTAAGGGATGATTTCAGAAAGAAGAGATTGAAAAAGCAAAGTAGTAGTTTTAAGAAAACAAATTGGAAAGTGTCCATTAGATTTGACAGGAAGGTGAAAGTTATCCTTAGAGCAAATGAAATCGATGGAGCATGAGAGGTGAAGTTAGGCTGTGCTGGTTAAAAAGCAAAGGAGAGGGTTGGGGTGTAGCTTGTGCATAGCACCACCAAAAAATAAAAGTAAATGAGAATATAGTCCACCCTTTTGGATAACAAAAAGGCATGAGAAAAAATGGTTCAATGTTGGGAGAGTCAAATATTTTTAAAATATTTTTGTAAAATTTTAGAACACTTGGACCATCTGTTATCTTTTGTACCTGCACAAAACCCTGCCTGCACTAATTGACATTTTTGATCAAGTCTGTAAATTATTTGATTGAATAATACTGAATTATATTTCTTCTCAGGATGAGTTCTTAGTACCAAGGGAAGAGTTACCCTGTTTCTTCCATAATATAATCTATTTAGAATTTATAAATGGAAATAATGATAATCTTTTTTCTCATAATAATGTTAAAAATGATTTCTAATGAACACTTGGATCCTATAAACATAATATGTTTAAAGAAAGAAATCAAGAACATTAATAATAATTTTGGGGAAAACCCAAGCAATCAACATTACACATTGTGATTGTAAGATGACCAACTGCAGGTTTAAAAAATAATTGTAGTTACCCAGTAAAGAGGGACCCCGAGATTAATAAATCTTGTTTTCTTTTTTTTTACTTCTGCACCATTGTATATTTTTTCCTTTTTTTCTTGAAGTTTTAAAAATGTCTTTATTTAGCACAGCATGATTATACATGATAGTGAATCATTGTCACATACTATATGTGCATACAACATAACAGCATTGGTGCTATTGCATTGCATGTCGCATAGTTCCACATACTGACTTTGACTTGGTTTCTTTTGTGTAGTACACAAGACCAGCTTCCGATGTCAACATGCTAGGGGAAATGATGTTTGGGTCAGTCGCAATGAGTTATAAAGGCTCCACCTTAAAGATACACTATATACGGTGAGTTTGAACTTCTTTTTCTACAGTTTTGAGAAATAGTATGGTGATACCGACTCCGTAATTTAAAAATGCACTTCTTCCCCCATCCATCCATCTATTTTTTATTTATTTATTTTCCAGTTCTCCTCCACAACTGATGATTAGTAAAGTTTTCTCTGCTAGAATGGGCAGCTTCTGTGGAAGTACAAATAAGTAAGTCATATTTTTGTGTGTGTCTTTTTCTAGGTTGAGTAACTTTTTGTGGGCCATCAGACGTTTTGAAATGAGAAGCAAAATGAATCCAGATTAACAGAAGGGTTTTAAAGGGTTAGGCAGTGTCCAGTAACATTGAGCAGGGGAAGGACTTTGACTTTCTTGGGTGTCCTTAAAGACAAAGCAGCATCTTTATTTTGGGTTGCCTTCAATTATCCACTACATTTCTACAGGCAGCTACCAAGTTTTAATTTTCTGGAAAATAGAAGGGGAAAAAAGGAGTAACTATATTACCAATTTAATGCCATTCCACAATATTATTTTGTCTTTAAAAGTATGTATTTCTGAAGGATTGAAGTACATAATGACTTTTTCTGGGATGATCACAGAGTGGTAGGAGGGTTGTCTGTACTTGCTATCTATTCTGAGCAGTCAGTGTAGCCTTTGTGATTGATAGGTATTTGAACCATGTAGTCATTTGATTTGCCCCTCTTTTTGCACTTGTGCATAGACTAAAAATACTGAAATGGTTAACTTAAATTTTCATCACAGTGCATTTGTTTATACATTTTGAACTTTCAAACAGAAATATTTCATATGCTTGTTATATTTTGTTATGTATTTAAAGGAAGTACTTAGTATAATAAGGGACATTCCTAGATGTTAAATGAATAACCCTGGGAAATTAAAATTTTATTCCTCTGCATCTTTGGGTACCTCTGAGTAAAAATTTTGCTTTATCCTACAACAAAATAGTTTGAACACTTAACATTGGGCTACCATGACTAAAGCCAATGTGAGAATTGATGTTTATTTATTATAAGATATACTTTTTTTCATCCCCTTGAAATTACCTGAATGTTTGTCACACTACTGCCCTATAGTAAAATATTGAGCTCAGATTTAAGTAAATATTATTTGGCTTCATTATGCTACATTATCCTCAAAGTCTTGATATTTATTTTCCTGTTAGAGAATACATTATTATAATAGGGGCTAGGGTTTTAGCTCAGTGGTTGAGTGCTTGCCTAGTGTGCATGAGGCACTGGGTTACATTCTCAGTGCCATATATAAATAAATCAAAAGAATACAGTATTAAAATCTATTTCCCTCACATTTTTATGAGTAATTCTAACTTTTTAGAAGTTGTGAAATCAAACTCCTAAGAGAATCATAATTTCTGATGCATCTCACCCCTGAAAAAAGTTGCTGAATTATTCATAGATGTTAATCAAGAGTTAAAATTAATTTTATTTTGAGGGTTTATGTAAAACCCTTGAAATGAATAGCAACATCTTTAGTGTCAGTTGCTAAAGCAGAATTTAGAAATGAATAGCAGTATCCTAGGTGTCAGCCACTGAAGCAGAATTTAGAGTTTGTTGTCCTGTTATAGAATATGAAATTGTTAGGAATGCAATTGTTTAGTTGTATGGATCTGGCTACTTCTAAAAAGCTTTTATTTTCCTTCAACAAATTCTCCTATACTTGCCGATTTAATTCCCTTTGGTAGATGTGAGACTATCAAATACAGTTGTATGCATTTGGGTGTCACTCAGCAGTTGTATATATTTGGGAGTCTACTAAAAAACAGCTTTTTATTAGCCTGTTGATGTTTTTCTCCTCTCTTTGCTTTCCTCTTCCTGGCCGGATTTAGCTTGCAAGACAGCTTTGAGTACATCAACCAAGATCCTCATGCAGGAAAACCGAACACGAATCAGCATAGTTTGGGTCCTGGTCGTGCCGGAAGTAACCTAGGTAAAATGAGACACGCAAACAGATTTTCTCTCTGAATACCACTATTATGGGTGTTTTTTACTTTATTTGAGTTGGTTGTGTTGTGTTGTTTTGGTTTGGTTTTGCATTACTTTTAATCGGTGTTTATTTTTGTGTATGTGTGTGCTTTGTTTGCTGTCCTCTGTGTGTCTGTCTCCAGGTCTGCTGCAAGCATGCAGCAGCAAACTGCTGCAGGGGGCAGCTGAAGGAGGACCTCTCCGGCTCACCCGGAGTGCTTCTTTCTTTGCAGGTTTGTGTGGAATGCTGAGTACAGTGTGACCCACACACATTAATAAATCCTTTACTGGTTCTCAGAAAAAGTCCTATTTGTGCTTTCCTAGAAATTCAAGGGGCTCTTGTGATAAGAGACATAATTTCAAATGCAGCCAAATTAATGATGTTTTGGAAAATTCATCCCATGAACCTCTATAGTAAATGTCTCTGCTAATATCCCAGGGTAAGCTGATTTTGATCTGAAATGAGCCCTTAGGGTTTCTAAGACAATTCTTTTTTTCTGATTTTCCTGGGCCCTTTTGCTGCTATGAACTGTTTCCCTTTGCCGTGGTGTTTTCTCTCCATTTGTTCACTTGCATCCTTACCTGCATGGAGTTTCTTTAAAAGTCACTTTAATTAAAGAGCATGGAAGATTGATCAATCTCTCTCTCTGTGTGTCTCTCATTTAAGTGATGTAAATGCAGTTTCTAGGTTCTTTACAGTTATAATCATCAGGGTGTTCTAACATTTCACTGGCCTTGCTATCTGAGGCTGTTCAATGTGTATTGTAGTCTTGGCATGATTAACAAGTGTGGGGGATCTTCATTACTAACGTTTAAGATTGTGAGTATGGCAAATGATATTTTTCATTCTGTTCTTCGTAGTCTGAAATATGCTAAACACCATAGTTAACTGACATACTAATGAAACTGACACCCTCCCACCTACTTAGAGTGAGGATAACATGTTGATATACTCTCTTTAAAATTGTGAAAATAAACATGTTTCAGAAAATAACTGGCAAGTACAACAATCAGGCAGGGCACTGGGCTTCTTGTACGTTATAAAACTTACTGAGCAACATTTCATCAGCCTTCCAGCTCAGTAAGAGTACAACTCCGGCCAATCTAAAGTCTTCCTATAAGTCTTTAATACTTCAGATTTTCCAAAATTCTTGCCAACATATGAGTTTTTCTAAGTAACTCAACAATAGTACTGTGTATGGGTGTATATGGAAAAGAAGTAGAGGAAGAAATATTTGAAAAGGAATATAAGTGTTTTCTGTCTGCCAAGAGAGTGGGTTATAAATAGAAACATTTTTTGAATTTATGAAATGGTTTTCAAGTATTTCTCTTCCCTAAGTTGCCTACAGTTACTACTGAAACTAATTATAAAGCATTTTGAAAATATAGTTCTATGTAAGTACTACTATTAATGAGGAAAATAGCTAAAAATATTCACTTGAAAAATGATCATTGTATTATCTGCACAATTAGTTTATGATACAGAATTTTTTAAAGAGTGGAATTCATTCAAAAAAGTTTATGTGCTTCAGTAGGATAAAGGCAGATACTTCTGTTTTCTTCTTTCTTTCATCATCTATGTATTTAATTTTGCTTTCTAGTTAATCTCTATAATAAACAGGCCAATAATCAATAGCAGTAGCCTACTTTGAAATGTAAAGATTACGGCAGTCATTTTTTAAATTTTTGTATCTTTGGATTCAAAACCTCAATAACATGTTTTCCTTGTACCTTTATCTCAGCACACAGCACCCCAGTTGATATGCCAAGCAGAGGACAGAATGAAGACAGGGACAGTGGCATTGCTCGATCAGGTATTTCCTTTTATTGGTTTAACTAATGCAGTGAACTATCCATAAAGATTTAAAAAAATTTTTTTTGATGTGTAACATCTGGGAATGAACATAAACTAGTCTTATATCAACATAAACTAGTCTTATATCCAAATTCATATGAGACTAGTGTATGCTGAGAAATCTCTTCTCAGAGTGAAATTTCCTTGAGTCAATAATACTGGGAATTTGTTTGCTGACTTCTGTGTGTAGAACCAGAGGAGGGAAAGTGTCTGCGAAAATAAATCTTTGAATGACAGTGGAAGTGCCTGCCAACTGACCTGATCACCCTTTCTTCTGTCTTAGAATACTGATCTAAGTTGTGTCTCAGGTACCTTTCTGTTCTTCCAGAAGTCCTAAACTTTACTTTTACTTCTTCTTTTTAACTAGCCCTGAACTTTCTAATACTGCTTTTAGGATCCCATGGTTTCTGCTTTTGTACATGATGCTGCTTTTGACTTTTGATTTGTGGTTCAGATCTGAGTTAGGTTCTGTGTTAGAAGAGAAGTAATCCAGGGACTTAGGTGTGTGGGGTTTACCTGATGATTACACATCCTGTAGGCCTCCTCTATCTTCCAGTGAGTACTAGGAGCACTCTACTGGTTTCTCCTCTGACACATAGCTCCTTCTAAACCAGCCAGCAGTCCCTGCACAGACTGGATCCAGACCTTGGGTGCCTTTCCTTCATTTGTGTTTCCACCTCTTGCTCTCAGACAGTGCCTCAAAAATCCTTGTTTCTTCTGTGTAATATCAGGGCCCTTCTCCCATTCTGTCCAGTTCTGCTCCCAAGTTGTTAAATGAAATGTATTGTTACTGAATCTCCCTGTTTGGCATTTAATATTTATATATGAAAGGGGTGATGGAGAGGGCTGCTAATGCCCCTGAGTGGCAGTTTGCTCCCCTTGCTGTCATTTATATATATGCATATGAATGTATATGTTTATATTACACACACATATGTAACATACATATATGTAATAAAGTATATATATATATATATATATATATATATATATATATATATATACACACTTTATATAGTGTTTTATTAGTTGTTAAAATTGATTCATATTGGTATTCATTATCTTCTCTGTGAAGTTGGGCTAATAACCTTTGGTCTGAAACGTAGCTCCCATTGATTAGACTTGTATAATTTTCACTTAAAATCTGAAAAGGTAAAAGGCAATATGTGATGTGCAAGTGAACTGTTTTTCTTTTGTCATATTTAATGATACTCATGGTAATTTCCTCATTTCTTGTGGGTCACTGTCAGCTGAACTCTGAGTTCCATCAGTTACTCAAAAGATTCTGAGTGTGCACTGAAAAACCCTAGTGTCCTAGTGGCTCTCAGCCCAATGCCGTTCTCGGTCCCCTGTCATAGGACTGGCACTGGACCGACTTTGCTGTGGTTGAATTCCAAAGCAGAAAGGTGAGAGCTTTTCACCTGTCTATGGGGGAAGGAGCATGAGTAATTTCCACCAGGGCCTCTTCTGAATGCTCATGTCACGGGATTTCTGTCCTGTTGTAACCTTATTTTACTTTTTATACCCCTTGTTACAGAAAAGATTCAGAGATTTTTAGGGAACTAATACCAACAGAAACATTATTAGAAGAAAGTTTGGATTTTCCTAGGTAACTTCAGTTTATAATATAATTGGTAAAATTAGTTCATGTTGTACGAATCTAAATCGCAACTTGTTTGATATTCTTTAGATTATATATTGCTCTAAAACTACTTTTCCATGCCTTTTGAGAAGCAGGAAAATTGAGTTCACATTAAAGTACAAGTCCATGGCAGCCAGAGCCAAATATTTTCTTGTAGTCCACGAGAGGGATTTGGGACTAACCAGATCTGGGAACTGGGGACAGTATGATACAAAGGTTAATTTTGATAATGAAAGAAGACTGGCTCTGTTTGGTAGTTTGGCAATCTGTATTTCCAATCTCTGCTTCTCCTGTTGAGAGGACGGGGTCAAAGGGGATGGAAAGAACTGCCAGTGCCCCTGGGTTTTACTCCCCTGGCTGTCCTGGTAGTTGTGCTTACCTTTAGGTTCACAACTGGGAACTGCTCTGATATCCCTGAGTCTACATAGACTAGTGTGAGCTTCACATCTTTGGTGGGATTAAGAACTCTGTTAACGTAAGAGCTCTTTTATCTTCTTAGTGTAATCCATTCTCTACTCCTTATTTCCCACCTTAAATTGTGGAGGAACCAAGATCTCGGTTCTAAAACAGAATAGGAGCTCCAAATATTAGAGTTAAATTAGCAGAAGAAGTAGAGAAAGTAAGATGGTGTTTATTGTCTTTTAATTCTGTAATTTTTAACTTCTATCTAAAGACTAGAGAGATAGGAAAAGTGTTGTTGTTGTTATTGTTGTTTGGTACTGAGGATTGAATACAGGGGTGCTCAACTGCTGAGCTACATCCCCAGACTTTTTTTATATTTTATTTAGATACAGGGTCTTGCTGAGTTGGTTAGTGCCTTGCTAAGTTGCTGAGGCTGGCTTTGAACTTGCAGTCCTCCTACCTCAGCCTCCAAGCTGCTGGGATTACAAGCATGTACCACCGTGCCCAGCAGGAAAGTTTTTAAGGTAGATTTTATTGTTAGAATAGTTATAGATTTACAGCAAAATTTGGAAGATTTTTTTCACAGAGTTCTCTTATAACTCATCCTCAGTCTGCCCTGTTAATAACATCTTAATATTAGTGTATGAATTATGACAATGAATGAGCCAATATTAATATTAGTGAAGCATGACCATTAGCCAAAGACCATAGTTTAGTTATTTCCTTGGTTTTTACTTAATGCCCTTCTATTCCAGGACCACATTACACTTATTGGTCAGGTCTCTTCAGGCTTATTTGGCCGTGGTAGGTTCTCAGACTTACTTTGTTTTTGCTAATCATGACAGTCTTGAGTACTGACTGGCTAGTTATTGTGTAGAATGCCCCACTATGAGAATGTTGGAAGTTTTCCTCATGATGAGGCTTAGGTTGTGAGTCCAGGGAGGGAAGACCACAGGGGTAAAGTGCCATTTTCATCACAGCAGGTCAAGGCTACCTACTGTCACTGTGCCTTGTGACCATTGACACTGGCCTTGTTTACCTGGCCAACGTGATATTTGTCAGGTTTCTCCACTGCAGAGTGACTATTTCCCCCCTCCATACTCTGCTTTGGTAAGATGTCACTATCACCTATGGAGTGGGGAATTGTGGTCCTCTTCCTCGAGAGCAGAGGCTCTCCATAAATTAGTTGGGATCCTCTGCATGGGAGAAATGTTTCATCTTCCCATTTATTTGTTTATTTGGTTATTATATCAGTATGAACTCCAGGATATTTATTTTTTTTACTTTGGATTATAATGTAATAGTACTTCTTTTAAAAAAATTGTTGTAGCTCAAATCATCCCAGCTTTGGCTATTGGGAGCTCTTTTTCTTAACTCCTATGCTCCTTTTATATACCCCCATCTATGTGGGGGGTGCTAGTTTGAGCACTGTCTTACATTCTATGCCACAAAATGCCGTACACACACACACACACACACACACACACACACACACACACACACACATATATAGTCATCTTCTGTATTTTTTTTTTTGCCCGAGTCCCAGAGTTAGTTGTTTCCTCATTCATAGAATGTTTGTTTCTTGGGGTGTAAAGGGGAAATACCTTGTTATTGTATTTTCTTTTGGATATTTTGAATATATCTTCTGTGCAAAGATAAATTTTAAGAGATTATTTTAGTAGCATAGTTGTTTATTTTAAGTAAGGCCTTGGAAGAAAAGAGAGGTGGATTTCTGGCATACTAAGCAGATTGCAGGCTCAGTGACTAACGGGACATGGGTTTTAGGGGAGGAGTAAGAGAGCAAGCATGACTCTTCAGTTTCTGACTTGAGAAGACAAGCAGAGGATAATGTGGTGACATTACCCAATGTAGGACAAGCCAGAGGCCCTTCAGGGAGACAGATAGTGAAATAATTTTTAGCTAGAAGTGTCCACAAATTCTCCACTTGTGAGTAGCCTGCTGTAATTTAGAAATAGAAAACTGACTCAAAAGAGATGGGTCAGCTGAAATTCAGAAGACTTGGATCTGCGAGCAGCATGAGGTTCCAAGGGCTGGGATTGAGACAGCATCATCATCGAGCCTTGTCATCTGCCCATAGTTCAACTCTAGGCTTTCTTCATCAAAGTTGGCAAATCATAGTAAGGAAAACGATTTCCCATTCTTTTTGTAGCTGCCATTTCTTCAGTCTTCAAAAGTGGTAAAACAAATAGGTCGGTATGAGGAACACTTGTAGTATGTACTTTTCAAGTGACTCTACCAGATAAGAATACACATCATCAAAGTGTTCAGATAAAACTTGTGTTTCAGCCACTCTGCAGATACAGAATGGACTCTGCCCAACATTTGGTTTGGATCAAGACTGATGATGTCACATACGCATACTGTAAGGATGTGGAAAGGCTTTTTACTCACATAATGAGGGTTTTCTGGAGAGAGTAGGTGACTTCCCAAGTTGGCCAGAAAAGAGCTTGAGAGAACAGGGTAAAGAGACTAAACTGGGGTTTTCTTGGTGGTAAGATTGTGTGAGTGTTTCTGCATGTGGTTTAAACCTCCCACTGGCACCAAAAGAGAGAGCACCTGGGCTTTCTCATCAGTTTGCTGAGAGGGAGCAGAATGAGGCCAGGGGAATGGGATGAAGCTCCAAAGCCATCAGCAATAGAATATCAAAAATGAAGTCAGATTCCTCACAATGTAGGTCACCGTGGAATAATGCACAATGATGTCCCATTTGTACCTGAGCCTCTTGCTGACTTAACTGATTCAGTGCTTAGTAAAGAGAGGAGCAGGAGTCAAAAGGACAACACTGCTTTTTATTTTTTCATTTTGTTTTTTGGTGCTAAGAATGCATTCTACCACTGAGTTTCATCCCTATGTCTAGGTATTGTTTTTTGTGTAGGGGAAAGACCCTACATGCTGTTGACCTTTGCACCTGTGCACATAGGCAAAAGCTTGAACTTAAGCATGAGTCTTGGTCGCATAACCTGGGATCTTTCTGGCACATAAGAAGATAGGAGGACTCTGAGGAGCTGCTAAGAGGGTATCTCCCACTCACTTCCCTGTCTCCCCTGGGAGGCTGCCATGAAACAATTTCTCTTCAACTCCACAGTTCTGATAGGGGACTTCTGCCCTGCCCTCTTCAAATAGAATTGCAGAATATAAAAGTACTTAGCTGCAGTTTAGAACGAGCTCCCAGCAGTGGGTGTCCCCCAGCTTGTACTGCAAGCATTGATCCCTTTTGTGTTGTTACCATTTTGGGTGTGGGACAAGTATCTTTGGGAGCTGGTCCCTTTGGCTTATTCTTTCCATCATCTAGGTGATAAACATCCAGGTCTAAAAATGTCTGCTTGTGTCTTTACTGTTGAGGATCTGGGCCTTGACCTTGCTTTGCTTTGCTCATATTATATTTGTTTGATGTCTTGTAAGGTGTCTTGGACAGAACTTAGTTTCTTTATTTCTTTCCACTTCTTATATTTCAAGTTAGACCTTTGGCATTTTCCTGGAGTGAATATTTGCCATCTTCACTTTCACAGGCTTTGTTGGCTTTTTCTTTCACTTCAGCTTTTTCGGTTCTAAACTTGCATTCCTGTATACCTGCTTAGGAAAAATTAGAATCAGAAAGTAATGAAAGTAGCAGTCAAACCCATAAGGGTTCTAGAAATAAATCTAAGAAAATGTGTGATATGTGATGGAGAAATTTTAAAACTTTATTAAAAGACCTGATTGGGTGGAGTGAAGGATCACATTTTACAAATTAATCTATAAATTCAGTGTAATTTGAGTTAAAATCTCCTGTGAAGTCAGACTAAACTTCTACTTCATATGGAAGAACAAAGGACCAAGATTATATATTTTTCATAAGTTTTTGTAGGCACTTTATTCTTAGATCCCAGACTCTGGATAATAGACAAAAGTCAAAAAACTTGGTAAATAAATGCAGAGAATGAATTGATCACCTAGGGTGGGCTAGAGTTTATGTCCCAGATAAGAAATTAAAATTTGAGATGTTTTGAAATCATGGTAGTGAGAACATTGTCTTTTTTATTATTCAGGGGGCTTTATAGGAATTTTATTAAAACTTAAAATGGCATTTTTGAGGACCATTTAAACTCCTAAATTAATTTTGTGGTTTGGGAATTAAAATGTGTTATGTGTAATTTGATTTGCCAATAAAATAATATGCTTGGTTTATTAAAAATGAAGTTTTCCTCTTAGACAATAACAGCTGTATTCATTGACCCATTAAATGCTTCTATTTTGTTGTCTTTAGAGTGTAACTACATACTAGACTAAGTCACCTTACATATTTTCAAGTTTCTAAGCAAAAACTTGAAGAGAAGAACTTTGAGTCTCACAGTGAACAAAGTCCATTGTGTTTGGGCTGTAGTACCCTTTCATCCAACAGATAGAAACAGATAGAAAAGGTACTCAGAACAATACCACCAAAAAAACAAAAACAAACTTTAAATGAAGGTTATGAAGGTTGGTTAAAAAGAGAAAATGTAAATACTATATATACAGCTTTAGCCACAGGAAACCTTAAACAAATTCAATATGTGAATTCATCTAGAAAGTTGTTTCTCTACTGCTCTGTTTCTGTTACACTTACTGATTGAGACAAACATTATTTTCCTTAACTGAATTGTTGGCCCAGTATTCAGTGAGCATCTATGGAACAATCTTCTAGGGTATGGGGATAGATCAGTGCTCAGAATACACATGGACTCTGATCTCATTGAATTTATAGTCAGTTAAGGAGAGATGGATGATAAACACTGAAATGTAGGCACACACTTATCAATGAAGGAAAGAAAACATATGGGGTGCCCATGAATAGCCCTCTGAAAGCATGAAATTTTAGCTGAGACTTTAATGCCAGTAGGGACTCCATGAAGTCCCCATTAAGTCTCCATGAATTCTCTATGAGGATTGGTTCAAATACCATTTTAGGGATGGTATAGTTATTGCAAATACCTAGGGTAGGAACAGACTACAGATTTGTGAATAAGGAATAGAAAATCCTTGTGAATAAGAATAGAAAAAAGACAGCCAGATTTCAAAGAGCTTATCTATAATCAAAGGCTAGCTGCCTTCTTTCAGGTAAGAGGCTGAGACAGGAGGATTGCAAGTTCAGGGGCCAACCTTATCAACTTAGTGAGACCCTGTCTCAAAATAAAAAAATAAAGGGACTGGAAATGTAGTTCAGTGGTAGAGCACTCCTGGGTTTAATTCCTGGTACAAAAAAAAAAGAGAGAGAAGGCCAGTTGTGGTGTGGAAAGGGTGGTATAAGATGAACTTAGAGAAGAAACATGGGGTCGATCCCATGAATATGTTTTTTTATATTTTGATGGGAGCATTTCCAAACATTTTCCTTTGGATGGCTGCAGAAGACAAGAGAAGATTAAGGGTTATCTGCAGAATACTTCCCCCATATGTCTCCTTGCAAGTTGAAATGTGTTTGACAGCATCAAAACCTTCTGCTCTAGGCCTTAGTTCGGACCTGCCCTGGGCTTACTGTAGTCCTGTGTCAGCACAGAGTCCTGAAGAGTGTTGACTGTCTGATACTATGATCGCATTTTTCTGCAAAAATAAGTAAATCAATCTCAAGATTCTCCCATCAAAGAAATTGTAACAGCTTCTGAGTTTTTGACTCTTATACTTCCTCTTCCCTGTGGCAAGGTTGTTCCTTGTGATTTGCCACATTCTGTGGTTATCTTCTTCATTTCTTGGGAGTTTTTGTTTGTTTCTTCTTCTCCCTCAGAATGTGAGCTTACCGACAACTGCAGAGACCTACATCCTCAGTTGTGTTTACTATTCTGTCCCCCAGTGACTTATAAAATAGTTGACATATAGTAGATGCTCAATGAGTATTTGAATGAGATGGGGAAATATGTCCACCCATACATATAAGTAGAAATACACATAGATTTTTTTAAACTATTGATATTATTTAATTCTTTCATAGAATGTCTGGGGTGTACCTCCTCTGAGCCCTTCGTCTCAGTTGAGGTATCTGTTTTCACAGAGGTGTTCTTTGAGCACTGATTAAAGAATTTACCCCATTACTTAAAGAAAATCATAGTCATTTTATTTTTATATTAATTACTACAGTCTGAAATAATTTATTCCATAAGTATAAACTCATGTAAGCAAAATAAGTCATTGAAACAGAAAGCATATTTAGGACTAGAAGTTGCTCTTTGACAAACAAGGGGACTGCAGTGGTTGGAGGATAGGAGGATAAGAATTGTGTATTTGGAAATTGGGGTCCGGACACAGGCTACAATGGAAGGAAATACTTAATTTCACCTAAAAGAAAAAATAAGGGCTGGGGATGTGGCTCAAGTGGTAGCGTGCTCGCCAGCCATGCGTGAGGCACTGGGTTCGATCCTCAGCACCACATAAAGATAAATAAATGAAATAAAGATATTGTATTCAACTACAACTAAAAAATAAATATTAAAAAAAAAGAAAAAGAAAAAATAAGAGTAATGAAGTAGTCAAGAGGAAGAAATTCTTATAAGTAAGCATGATAATGTGGCATTAGTTACCAGCTTAACAATATAAAGTTTTTGTAAGAACCATGTTATCAGAAATCTGCAGTCTCCAATTGATTAATAATTTATTCTGCATAAATAATGTGGGGCCTGATAATTTATGCACGTGCCTTATCTGTGATTCTTATTTCCTTTAATATGTTTTCCTTTATAAAGGATTCTTTGCTGTGTAGAAATCTTCATAAAACAAAAATTATAAACTCCCCCTGCTGGATATGATTGGTAGAACCTGCAAATAATGTTACTTAGCATATATGTATTTTTTTTCAAAGTTTTTTTTTACTAAAATACACATAACATAAAATTTGCCATCTTATCCATTTTAAATTTACAGTTCAGTGGTACTAAATACAAACCTACTGATGTGCAGTATATAATATGTAAGGACTCATTTACCTCAGGTTTCAAATTCAAAATTTCCTTCTTCACAGCCTCACTAAGCAGCCTTTTGATCACACCTTTCCCATCGCCAAGCTCCTCTACATCTTCTTCCAGCAGTTATCAGCGCCGTTGGCTTCGAAGTCAGACGACAAGTTTAGAGAATGGCATCTTTCCAAGGAGGTGAGTTTCAAGTTTGTTCTTGCTGGGGAAAGTGCTAGTGTAGGCAGCGTGATGAGCCCCGCAGGGTGATCGCGCTTGCCTGCTGTCAGTGGGAGGAACGGGAATCTTCAAGGAGCCTCAATGTAACCAGAAAGTTTACAAGTTAGACATTTGAAGGAGAAAATAGATTAAAGCTTACCAAAAGATTCTGATATAAAAGACACTAGGAAATATCTCAGTAGTTGTGCCATGTTTGAGCTAGGTTTGGTGTTAAAGTGAGTGTGCACTCTTTTTGAGTCCCTTACAAATGTAGCTCTTGTAAGTCATGCAGGGTGGGATAAATCTCTTCCTTGGAGTGATATGGTATTTGAAAATATGACATATTCTCTATTCATATTAGTGGTTTATTCTTATTGTAAATCTTAAATTTACCAACTGAACAGGCATCAATATAATTAAAAATATAAATGACATCAAATACTTTCTACCTTCATTTCTGTTGGTTTTGTAATCTAAACTTCAGTTATGTCTAAAACATATATTTGATCTTAAATCAGTAGCATCTAAACTCTTCTTCTATCACCCCAAAAGGGAAGTTTTATACATAACTATAAAAATTCACTTCAGTTGATTTAGTAAATTAACTGGTAATGACTCCATAGGGATCTGTGAGGGTGTAAAAATGATTTGGCTATGTGCCTGCATTTAACCTTTTATGCACTGGTAGGGAAGATGATATGCACCTAAATAATGGTATAAAGAGACTACATGCTATAGGGAGGCATAAAGTGCTTTGGAACTCAAGGAAGGAGAAAACACAGTGATGGTTGCACAGGAAGTGGGGAATCCTGTAGAGGAGAGGGCACTGAAAGGATAAGCAGAGAAAGAAGAGGTTAGGGCATCTCTTCTGTTCCTCTCACAATTCTAGGGAGCAAGACAGGAAGAAAAAAGTAGAGCTGCATTATTCAATAAGGAGCTGATTTTTGGTTGATGGACTTCCAGTGGAATGAGTAGGAGCTTGGCACTTGTTGTGAGGACAAGTCCTGCATGTTAGAACAAGTTAACCTGGATTCTAAGCATTGCTTCTGCATCTGCATTAGTGATAATAATATTAGTTTCAGCCTAAAAGGGTTGTTCAGATGGCCAAATGAGATACAGCAAGTCAGGTGTTAGCCTGGACACAGCATATGGTGAATAGAATATTGGCCAACATGATTTGTTTGCTATTGCTACTGCTATCACTGTCATTGCTATTACTACAACTGCCAGGAGTTGGCGCCACCACCATCCCCACCCTGGCATTATGATAGCTGTGAGTGGAAGAGATGGATCTTGGAAACCTTCCCCCTTAGCCATCTCTTTGCTGAAAATGCTCTTTTATTCCTTCAGGTTTATGTCCCAAGTTGAGTATAGCATTTCTCCATTCCACTCCACTGAAATCCTTCAAAATTCTAATTTGAAGTAAGGACTGGCATTGGGAATTAATCAATCTCTAGTGAATTTGTACCTAAAATAAGACTCTCACATTCAGAAAGCCTATGAATACAGTCAGGGCTGATATATAATTTGCGGGACCAGTGCAAAATAAAATGCCAGGCCTCTTGCTCAGAAAGCGGGAAAAATTCTGTTAAAGGTACTGAAAAGTAAAACTTTGCCTTTAAAAATATTACTTATAAAACATAATAGAGATAACAGTGATATGTAAATAGCAACATAAACTTATAAATTCCAAAAATATTTTTGGTATAATTTTATATACGGCTATAAAAATACTTAATATGAAATCTTGATTTATTATAAGATTTTTCAGGCTTTTCAGCAAATTCACTATCATTGAAATTTCTACTTTAGCAACTTGTCTTTCAGTTGATATTGAAAGTGGCATTAGTCATTCCTGGCAAATTCAGAGTGGCAAATAATTTTGTATAGTTATTTAGAGAAGGATCTTTCTACTGAGGCATTGGGATGTGACAATATTGGGATGAATGACTGATAAACTTTTGATCAGGTGATTCTTGTGGAACAGTTTTCTAAAAAGATTAAATTCTTCACAGAAGTCCATTTTGTGTTAAATCTGAATTTAATTATAGATATAAATTTGTATGTGGCTATTTAATGTTTCCTTTGATGTTTCCTAGAACTTGTAGTTACCTTACAAGAAACTGAAGGTCCTCATAAGCTGTTCAAAATGTCTGTTTATGCATTCTGTTGCTATTTCTTCAAATATGAGGAAACATTAATTTTAAAATGATCTTCCTCATTAGTAATTTGCCTATCTGAATGTTCATATAGAAACAGTGAGGTATTTTTTCTGTTCAATACAACAGTCTTTACATTAATATTCTACTTCTATACCTGTGAATATTGCTTTGTAATATTGCAGCAATTTTCAGAATCAGAGATGACAGCTTTTTGAAAGATTCTAATAACTCCCAATTCACTTTATTGCAGTGTCCATGTGTATGTCTTTGCTTTGTGATAATTTACTCCTTTAGGGCTTAGGTCAGGAAGTTAAATATTTGTGTAAACTCCTTAGGGAAGGGCTCCAATGGTGGATGGACAAGCTGGCCTCTTCCCATGGTTCCTGTCAGAGGCCCTCCCTTCTTTTCTCATTCCCCTCCCATAACTGGCCACTGTTGCTTCTGCTGTTACTACTGTCATAGCCATCAGTCTGGGTCCAAGTCCAGCCTGCCATCTTGGAACCTTGTGGCACCCTGTCCTGCTTCAGATGTGTTGGTGTAAGTCTGACTGTCAGGCCTGAACCCATCCATGTATAGAGTGCTGCCCCATATCTTCCCTGCTCATGTGCAAATATCATTGTCACATTAGACTTCACTTAAAGGACACTAGTACAAAGATAAATTATTAAGAATTCAAGATGCCAATTGCAGAACATTATACCAATCCTGGGGCCTTTCTGAGAGCAGATTTAATGCCCATGAAGCCAGCCCTGAGTATAGTATGTTGAACATTGAGAATATATATGTAGAAGACATTTTGACTTGATTACCTGTACCTGAAGATCAATCTCTCCATTCAAAGGATGTTGCTCTTAATCCACTCCATTTTGGCAAGTAGTAGGTAAGAAAATCAGTTTCTTATACTAGAGGCAAGAGAACAGTAGGTATCAAAAATTGTTATTACTTCTGACCAAGAGAAAATTCACAGTAATTGAAAACTTCTTTTTTTAAATCATTTTTTAATATTGTTTTTTAGTTTTAGGTGGACATAGTATATTGTATTCTTATGTGGTGCTGAGGATCGAACCCAGCCAGCACCTCATGCATGCTAGGCAAGCACTCTACCTCCGAGCCACAACCCCAGCCCCTGAAAACTTCTTTTCTAAGAGAATTAAAGGCAGTCAAGAATGATACTTGAATCCATAACAGGTGGCACCTCACTGACCTCAGGGCCTCCTGCTGTACCTGGTGATATGCTTTTGCAGCTTGGGCATTTGATAGGTGGTACCAGCAGTAGTACTAGTAAGGAAAGAAAAGCCACAAAGATTGTGCCACTCAGGCCATTGAAACTTCAAAGGAGCAAGATAAAGTAACCCAGAAAGCCTTTTGATTTGATTTGTTTGATTTATTAAATGGAATCAATCAGTCAGGCATGATGGTCCACACCTATTATCCCAGCTACTTGGGAGGCTAGAATGGGAGGATCACAAGTTGGAGGCCAGCCTGAGCTTAAGAAGACCCTGTCTCAAATGAAATGAAAGGGGCTGGTGACATAGTTCAGTGGTTGACTGCTTGCCTAGCATGTGCAAGGCCCTGAGTTCAGTCCCCAGTACCTAGGGGGAAAAAATGATTGAACAAACCATATGAAGTTGCTGATGGGATGTTCTGTGACAACAAAAATGTCAATTTCCTGTGGTCCAATGTAATTCATAAGGTTCATTGTAAGTCAAGGCTGACATAAGTAACAGGCCAACTAGTCCTGATACAATGAATGATAGGTTGTCGAGAAATATTAAAATAATTATAGTTTTTGCTTTATCTGTGATCTTAAAGTACTTATAATGTACATAAATGTGTATTCAGAGCATTAATTAAATTCTCTTTATAAGGAATAAGATTGTGTAGGGTGGTAGGTATTGTTTTGATATTAGACTTTCCCCAAAGCTCTTATGTGAGACAACGCAAGAAATGTAGAGGTGAAATAATTGGGGTATGAGAACCTGAACCTAATCAGTGCATTAATTTGCTAATAGGGTTCAACTGGGTGGTAACTGTAGCCAGGTAGGGTATGGCTAGAGGAGGTTGGTCTCTGGGGCTGTGCCGTTGTGGTTTATATTTATATGTCCCTGGTGAGAGGAGCCTCTCTCTGCTTCTTGGTGTCCATGTCTTGAGCCTCTTTGCTATGCCACACTTCCACCATAATGGTCTGCCTTACCTCAGGCCCTGAGGAATGGCATCTGCCATCCATGAATCGATTGAGACCTTTGAAACCATGAGCACCAAATAAACTTTTCCTCCTCCAAAACTGTTCTAGTCAGGTCTTTTGATCACCACAGTGAAAAAACTTAACTAAAACAGTGGTCTTTCTGCAACCTGGAGCCCATTAGCTGATCTGGTTGCTTCTAGCTTCTTCCCCTCAGTGCTCCAACTGTTGTAATGCCTCAGATGGCATGAGCACCAGCCAACAGATGAGGAATGGGGTCAGAGTTTGGTCATTTCCAGTGCCCAGTAACTAAACCTATACTAGAGACAGAAACTCTGGGTTCTAACTCTAGCATTGTCACTAAGAAGCTTTTTGTTCCCCAGGCAATTGAGTAAGCACCCTGCCTCAGTTTGTTCATTTACAAATCAGCCTATGCACCTTACATGGTTGATGACCTGTGGGAAAAGGTACATGGAAGTATTGGGCATGTATACTCAAATTTTTAAAAACATTCTTTTATTATGGAATAATTTTTAAAAATGGAATTATGATACTATGAGATCTGACTTATTCCAGTTTTCATAATGGATCCAAGACTATACTCAGTTGCTTTAGAATTTACTAGAGGATATATGTAGTGAAGCAAGGAGGATTGCTACTGTTACAACTATGGAAGTTTTACAGAAATTCAGCAGGTGGCGCTCTCTGCTACGTTAAACCGAGGAGAGAATTTATTGGGTAGAACTGAAGATAATGGATGAAGAATAAAGGTGCAGAGTTCAGTGTTTGTAACTATTAGATTATTAAAGATCATGTTGGCCTAATGAGGAGTGGACTGGTATGAGAGTTTACTTTTGAAAAAGAAGAGACGTAAACAAGCATGTTTAACAGTACAAGCTCAGAAGAATTTTTTTTAGAGACAACAGAAATAAACTAGTGTAGGAAAACAAGGTTTTAACAGAGGTATTTTAGAAAAGAATGGGGCATTGTGTGAAATCACACATTTTAAAAGATTCTCAAAGAATTTTTTCTGATGAGGACGATCTAGGGATTTCTTGAAGTGTATAGTTGATGGTTTATTATAAAATGTGACATTAATAGGCTGAGGTTATGGCTTAGTGGTGGAGCACTTGCCTCACTCAGGTGAGGCACTAGGTTCGATCCTCAGCACCACATAAAAGTAAATAAATAAAATAGATGTATTGTGTCTGTCTACAACTAAAAAAAAAATTAAGAAGTAACACTTACAACCTAGAGATGGAGTGCTGCCAGTGGTGAGTCGGAAGTGAGGGCATTTTACATACTGATCAGCCATACCTGCATCTCTGAGAGCTTGGGTGAAGTTAAGGGACACAGTAGCACATCTCTGAGATTAGAACAAAATGAAAATTAGAACAAAATTTAAAATTAGCTTTTCTAACCATAAAAACTTTTTATCTGTTTATGTTTTATAAAATCTGGATGTATTTGAACTTTATAGATCGTGAGTACCGCACCAAATATAGGACCAAGGACCGGAAGCTAACTGCCTTGAATTCTGCCCAGCATCAGGAATTGTTGTGTTATAAGGCAGCAGTACCCTCCTGTATTTGTCAGAGATAGAAGCTAAATGGTAGTGAGAAAGAGAAAAGAAGTTGCATACCTACCATGTGCCAGGCAGGGTGCTTTCCTTTACAATGTTATATCCTTTGCTTTAGTGTCTTTGTAGAACAAAGCAAATTAATTTTTTTATCCTCACTCTTGCTATTAGCAGCTTTGTGGCAGCTATTCTGGCTTTTCACAATAGTTAAATAAGAGATTTTGTTAGGCCATAATAGTGAGAATTATCCTATAAGACAAATTGTGTATACATTCAGAATTTATTCACGTCGTGGTTATTTTATCATAGAAGCAGAGTCTCAAAAGAATCATAAGTTTTTGAGAATTTCACTAAAACAGAAGAGGTGATTCTTTCTGCTTGGGGAATTTCTCAGAGAGCTCAGTCAATCACATGGCTTAATCTGAGCACTGAGAGGAGTTTCATCTAGTGGTCTTAGTATCTTTGGGAAAGTTAGCCTGGAAAGCCAGTAAATATTCAAATGCAATGCCTGTGTTAGAATACTGTGTACAATTTTTCCTTTTTTGACATTCTTATCTGTTGATGTCAATCAAAACAAAGGGCTTATGAATTTTGAGTGAACAGGTATTTCATACCACTCCTAAATACCACCAGTCTACAAAATGATACAGGGGGAAGGGTGAGAGTCTAACAATGGTACATTCAAATTAACTTTTGGTTTTCATTTGAGTTCCTTTTCATGTTAAAATAATAATGTGTGGCAAGCCAGTGTTCTCATTTTTCACACAGAGAATCATAAAAGAGAATGAACAGGAAGTAGATAAACTCTTTACCAAGACTCTGAGGGTTCTTGATAAGCTTTCTGAGTGTTGTCCTTGGCATGACAGTTGACCATCAGTGTGACTCATTGATGCATGGCAACTTTTCAAACTTTTTCTTCCTCCATTCAGGTCCACTGATGAGACATTTAGCTTGGCTGAAGAAACCTGTAGTTCTAATCCAGCCATAGTTAGGAGGAAGAAAATTGCCATAAGCATCATCTTTTCCCTGTGTGAGAAAGAAGAAGCGCAACGGAATTTCCAGGACTTCTTTTTTTCTCATTTCCCCCTCTTTGAATCTCACATGAACAGGCTAAAGAGTGCAATTGAAAAGGTAAAAACATCATAATCTAATGTCAATTGGAGAAGTGATTATGGGGTTTTAAGGATGGCAGAATCTCTGTTTATGTACCAGATCACCTTCCTAAGGAAGTTAAGTCAGCCCTAGCAGTGATGGATTCTTAGGAACATTGATGTTAGCTACCAGATACTGGTTGCTTTAGGAAAGGAAATTATTGCTTTCTAATGACTGAAGGCATTATTACCTTGGGTGTGCTTAATTTATTATAATTCACTTTTTTAATTAATGAAGCCCAATAGATATGTTGTAAGGTAGTTTCTTCTTTGAGTGATTGGGCTTGCTTTCTCTCTACCAAGGCCATGATCTCCTGTAGGAAGATTGCAGAGTCAAGCCTCCGTGTCCAGTTTTACATCAGCCGTCTGATGGAAGCTCTGGGAGAATTCAGGTAAAGTCAAGTTTTGGCAAATCCAACAAGAAATTGATGAAGAGCAGCAGTGGCAGCAGCCATGGATTTTAGGATTATAGGGAGAATTGAAGGGCTAGTCACTTCAGTGGCTCCGCCCTTCAAGATGGAAACAGACCAAATGGAGCAAGAAATTTAAATAATCCAACACTAAAGAATCTTTACCCCTACCTGACAGTTCTTATATGATTGTTCTGAACAGAGTAAGTGGAGAAAACTGACATTTGGTGTGTCTTATAAGTCTGTTCATTGTCTCATGTCATACAACAACAATTCTAGGAGTAAGCACTACTACCCCCATTTTACATATGTGGAAAACTGAGTTCAAAGGTGCTCATCCAGAGCACATAATGGAGAGCATGCATATCAACAACACCTATGTTCCAGTTTGCCAGCACAGTTGTAGTTTGTATCCACTGTCTTCCTGTACATGTCCTGGTCTGGACGTTACTTATCTCATCACCCTCATATGTCTTCATAGGCAGTTTCTAATTAATGACCTTTGTACTCTGGAATCCACTTTTCTAGAGTCCTTGCTCCTGGTGTCTGTGTAGAAAGGTAATCTTTTCTGGGTAGCAGGTGGAATTCTCTCCCACCATGACGAATTGAAATTGTTGCACCATCTCTTAGAGCTAGTCATGGTGGTGAATGGAATCCCACTCCAAAGTAGCCATGTAATGAGTCAAACTGTTACTCCCCAGCTGAGGGATAAAATATATTTTATAATTTCTAGAATGTTAGGACATTTTTGTGGTGCTTAAGGTATCTGCTGGTCAACTGTATAATACTGCTTACAATGAAATCACCATGATTTTTTAATGTAAAGTACTCAAGTAGCACCGTAGGCATTATCTGATGATTGTTAAGACTTAAGTCACATGTTTGAAGAGTATTGTGAAGTTGTGCTTTTTGATGGCAACCTGATGATTAGTAAACCTCCCATAGTTTGTTTGGACAATACTAGAGTTACCTGTTGCTCTGCTGTGGTCAGACTCAAAGCTGGATTTTGCTTGAGTCTGGGTACTACTTTAATGAGAGTATTAATTTTTCAAGAAACTGAAAGAAAAGAACTAAAAAGCTTCACTGTGTACATAGATAGGTCTTATTTTTCAATAGTCACAACTGCCCAAAATGGTGACAGAATTAAGTTTCAGCATTTAGAGTCCTTGGTTTTACTAAATGAATTCTGGTGCTATGTACTGGTAGCTTGTCATTGCTACCTAACTCAGCAAATACTGTGTTTTTGTATTACCAAGGTGGAATTCTCTTAGGTCCCAGTTCTTTCATATACAGTCAGAAAATCAAATCAATATGTCTCTTCTATCTTGATTTGGGAAGGGTGGATGTGTTATCAAATCAGAGATATATTAGCCTTTTACCCCGTGGAGAGCCTAAGTTTTTCTACTCATTGAAAAAACACTTGTAACTCATGTAGCTTAAAGCAGAGCCCTCCATGCCCGGCAATGAGACCTGAATTCACATCCTAACCTTGCCATTAAATATCTGTATGTCTTGGCAAAGAACCTAATCTTCTCTAGGCCTCTGTATAAAGTTAGTATGTAATATAGTAAAGAAGAGCAACTTCTATAGGTTTTTTCCTATAAAATAAATAGAGTGGCTTTAACTAACAAAATCAAAACATTATTCAGAAATTGGGAGAGTTGAATTAACTGATCACATTTTTAATATAGTATATACTTTCTCCCTATGTCTCCTTTACTATAAAAATGGTTGTATGATACCCCACAAATATGTATTTTTATGTTTTATGTATAGGTTAAAATATATTAAAATTCAAGTAGTTGTAGTTTCTGACACAGGATATGGTGAAAATAAATTGTTTTTACAATGAATATTTTATGTTGGAGAGTTGGCATACTTTTTCTGTAAGGGGTATGTGTCACATCTACTCAATTTTACCATCATCCTATAAAAGTAGCATTAGATAGTATGTCAGTGAATGAGTATGTGTGTGTCCCAGCAAAGCTTTATTTACATAAAATATAGGAGTCTGATTTGTCCTGTAGTTCATACTTTGCTAATCTGTTATATATACTTCTTGAATCTCTTAAGGACTGCAGAGATCCAAATTTTTCTCCTTTATTCTTCCTTTTTCTTTTTTGGTACCAAGAATTCAACCCAGGGTCCCTTAACTACTGAGCCATATCCCCAGCCCTTTTTATTTTTTATTTAGAGACAGAGTCTCCCTACAGCCTCACTAAGTTGCTGAGGCAGACTTCAAACCTGTGATCCTCCTGCCTCAGCCTCCCAAGCCTCTGGGGTTACAGGCATGTGCCACCATGCCCCATTCTCCTTTGTTCTTTTGTACCAAGATTATCTTAAAATATTTGTGACTGTTTTATGCATCCCTTCTCTCTCTCTCTTTCTCTCTCTCTCCTATAGAGGGACTATCTGGAATTTATATTCTGTTCCAAGGATAGCTGAACCAGTATGGCTTACTATGATGTCAAACACTTTGGAAAAAAACCAGCTCTGCCAGCGCTTTCTCAAGGAGTTTACACTTCTGATAGAACAAATCAACAAAAATCAGTAAGCTTCAACTATCTGGAGGCTTGTATGTGAATTCTATAGCCAGTGCATGTGCTGCATAAGACATGCCTCATCCAGTATTGACTAATCTGGTTGTATTTTCTTCCATTTCTCCAAGGTTTTTTGCTGCCTTACTGACTGCAGTGTTAACCTACCACCTGGCTTGGGTACCAACTGTCATGCCTGTTGATCACCCTCCCATTAAGGCCTTCTCAGAGAAACGTACCTCTCAATCAGTGAACATGCTGGCCAAAACACATCCGTACAATCCTCTCTGGGCACAGCTGGGTTAGTACCTCATTTGACTGTTCAGATAACATAGGTGCAAAATTGGAAAAATGCTAGAATTTATAGCTTATACGGACTGTCCAACCCAGTAATTCAAAAATTGTCGCTGAGCAGGGAAAGAATAGAAGAGTGACCCACAGAATCTAATTGTCAGACTACTACTTTTCCCCTTCTGGTAGCTTTGTTCTTTTAAAGGAATATGGGCAGCCATTCTCCATTTCACAGTGCCTGTTCACTCTAGCACACGATTTCTTAACCTCAGCACTGTTGACACTTTAGGCCAGATAATTCTTTATTAGTGGAGTTGTGTGGGGGTAGGAAGATAGCATCTTAGGCATTGTGGGATGTTTAACAGCACCCCTGAACTCTGTTTTATAGATACCAGTAGAACCCAAAGTTGTAACAATTAAAAAATGTCTTAAGACACTGTCAGATGTTCCTAGGAGAGGGGCAGCTAAACAAACCTTGTTTGACAACCACTGCGCTAGAGGGTGGCTCAGGTGGGAAAAGAATAAGACAAAGAGGAAAGTAGAGGCATGCTATAATCTTGTCAGTTGTAGCATAAGTAGAAATTAGAGGTGGTATTGACTTTCTCAAACTTGTCCTGAGGCATGGCATAGGATTCTATACCATGGTTGGTGGGTGGTTGTAGAGTTTGGGGTTTGTGAGAATAGGGTTTGCATATTTGGGCTCCTGTGGAGAAGAGGCATCCTCTAGAGCCTCACATGCTCTATACCAGACCTGTGGCGCACATGGGAGGGAGAATGGAATACCTCTGGGAGCTGGCTGTCTCACAGACAAAGCAGATCCATATTCACATGACTAAAGAGCATCCTGCTTATGGCTTTAATAAGGGCATACAAAGGGATGCAGGAGACAGTACAGTGGGAGGTGAGGAACTTGGGGGCCAGCAGCCTACTGCTGGGTCTCAGCCTCCACTGGCAAGTCACTTAGTTTCTCTGTGCCTGTTGTTTCTTCTTCTTCTCCTCTTCTTCCTTTCCTCCCCTTCCCCTACCTCTTCCTCTCCTCCTCCTCCTCTTCTTCCTCTTTTTTCTCTTCCTCTTCTTCCCCTCCTCTCCTCATTTGCCAGGCAAGCACTTCACCACCAAGCCACACCCCAGCCTCACGCTTACTTTTGCATCTGTCAGATTATCAAGTGGGGTGGTGATGGGACTTACTTCCCGGTTGCTGTGGGGATTAGAATGGCTGTATAAAGCACCGTTGTTATGTTGCTACTGCAAATTTATATTGTGGGGTACCTTGAGAGAGAGTATGAGGGGGATTTTCAGGGAAGGCTGTACTTCAGGAAATGTTAAAATGGAATTTTCCAGAAAGAAGAAGGGGAAGGGAAAAAAAAAAAAAAAAACTAGGGAAGAGCACTCCAATCTTAGAAAACAGCATGTTTAAATAACAATATCAAAAGCTGAAGCAATGAGCCAAGCACTCTTTTAAGTACTTTTTACACATTAATTCATGTATTCATGTGTACACTCCTACCCTATTACTATTGTTCTTTAAAAAAAAAAAAAGTATTTTTCAGTTGTAGTTGGACACAATACATACATACATACATACATACATTTATTTATTTATTTATTGCTTGCTTGCTTGCTAAGGATTGAACCCAGTGTCTCACATTTGCTAGGCAAGCATTGTACCACTGAGCTACAACCCCACCCCTATTGTCCTTATTTTAGAGCAATAAAAATATCTTCTTGTCCTTGTGCCCTTGGTCATGAGATGTGTAAGAAGGAATATGTAAGTCTCATGATGGGGAGAGGAGTGTTAATAGATGTATTCTAAATAGATTAAAGAATCTGTGTATATTTAAGCCATTTTAATACAGTACTTTAATACTTGATGCAAATAACCCAAACTAAGCTCGGGAAGACCTCAGAATGTGCCTGGCTCAGTCTGGCTCATACAGTTCTTCCTTGGGAGGGTAGAAGGTTGTACTTGTTATGGAACAGTAGCCTTTTAAAAATGTAGTATTAAATGGTGAAAGAAAGGGGGCTGGATATTAAGGAAATATAGTATCTCAAGCTGCCAGGTCACCAATTTAAAAACAATGCTAATTAAGCAGTTTGCATTTAATTAGATAAATGTATTTATAATTAGGCATGCTTCTCATTTGCAGCTGAACTAATTGGGAGCCATTAATTCCCTGTTTTCAGCATAACAAGGCAAGATCCCTTCCTGTGGGTTCACATTTGTCATTTTTCATTGCAGATCATGTGTTATTAAAGGTCTTCAATTCTTCCTTCCCCCAAACAATCCATAGGGGTCTGGCTATTGATTAGAGTAGTGTGAGGAGGAGACAAGGCCCTGGTGCAAGAGAGGACGTGCTAGCTTCGGAGAGCCAAGTGTGAATGGTGGTTTAAGTAGAAAAGATTCTGTCTGGAATCATTTCAAAGACTTGACTCAGAGCTCGCCAGGACAGTTAGTACCAAGGTGCTCACCATTCTGTATGGCTTCTCAGTGCTTCCCGGCCAGGGAGGGTTGAAGACAGAAGGTGCAGCCCCTTGTTTTCACTCTCAGGAGCTTAGTGATCTGTGTCTCTACCTCACACGGCCCCTCTTGAAAGGGCTTGTCCACAGTGAGGATCACTACCCACTAGTGGGCTGCAGAAGCAATTTAGTGGGTTGAAAGGCATCTTAGAGGTATAATTTTTGTATAATGTGAGTTGCAGAGGGCATATGAGGCTGCTCTGTAAAATGTGCTTCTTTGTTGGCATGAGGACACAAAGTTTGAAAGCCACTCTATGGTGACACGGATGAAAGAGTCTCCTGTCTGCCTCCTTTGGACTTAATCAATGTCAAGGGTTTGTGGAAACAGAATGCAGCTTTTCTTCTTAAAAGATGTTTCATTTATTTGGCGGGGTGGGGGGAATGTTTGAATTGCTTTTTCATTTTTCTACCTAAAGTTACATTTTTCAGAAAGCAGTAAAATTAGACTTTAAATTAGCTAAAAGAAAAAAGAAAATCACCACCTGGTCAGAAGTTGAGTAACCACATTTAAATAAGCCAGGTTCACAAGAGAAATTAAAAGATATCTTGAGTTAGTGATACAGAGATGCTGCAGGGGTGGGAGCCCTTTGCAGGGGCTCCAAGCAGACAGGTGAGCACAGTGGTGTCCCATCAGCACACCTGGCTCCAGTCTCCTCCCTCACATGCTCACGTATCCACCAGCCTTTGTTTGTTCCTCTGTCTTTACCGGGCTCCTGTGTTCTTGTGGCTCCCTGCCCTGATATTTTCTGCCCTCTGCTTCTAGTTTCTATTCATGTCATTGTTTCCCTCTAGACCTTTTTCTTTTCCTCTCCCTGTCTCCTGGGTGCTTTCTTTTCCCCGTGTTTTGACCCCTGGCTTTTGGCTGTACTCTAAAGCCCTGTGGTTCGTTCCTCACCAACTTACTGCACCTCTCTCCTTTCCCCTCTTTGCCTTCCTTCCCTTCTCACCTTTCTCTTCTGTAGTTTTCTCTCTTCCTCCACTCGCTGTCACTGCCTTCTCTCTGCCTCTTAATTCTTCCTTTTTTCTTCTGCTTTGCTTCTGATTTCTGTCTTTTTCCTTAAATTTTCATTCATTAAGGTAAAAACAAGTAACATACAGTTTATCATCTTAACTGTCTGAGTAGACAGTTTGATAGTGTTAAGTATATTCACCTTATTGTGTAACTTCTTCATTTTAAAAAATCATCCTCATGAAAACAAAGCAGTCTTCTCTAAAATTAGTAGCTTCATTAGTTCAGGACTCAAAAATTGCCTTCTAGTCAGGAGCCAATAAATCTTTGATTTTTATGGGTCTATTATTTTAATGATGCATTATTTTATGAAATTTCTCCCTAAAGTAATAACATTCATTGCTCTCATTACTTTATATACTTTATTATAAATTTTAATAACTTCCTTTTTTAAATTTTTTACTACTTATTCCTTGGTCATTAAAACTCACAATACTAAAAGTTAAATGGATTGTTAAAAAATAATACTGTCATTCTGAGCAGCCTTTCTCGTGTGGTTTGTTATACCAGATTTTGAAAGTGTTAATTAATTACTCCTTAGTTACATTGAGGATGATTTAACAGAAATGTCCCATAAATTTCTGAAGTGACTATACTATGGGCACATACAGTCAGAGGAGAGTAACAGAATGAGCTCTTGGTCTGTGAGATTTTCTCAAACAAAAGCCTGAGCATCACACTACAGTCCCTGAATCACTCTTTTCATTTTTAGGATGATTCCTCAGTGAGTAGCAAAAGCTCTGTTAGCTTACAATCTAGTCTTTTTATAGAGAGGATGTTTTTTATTATTCCTGTCATGTTCTTTAAGTGTTCTGAGGAGCCATACACTAGGGAATACTCTCTAAAAGATGTACTTCCTTGTGGTTCCCCAGGGAGAAGCACTTTTGATGGCTTCTCATAACTTTTTTTCTTTTTCTTCCTTTTTTGGTACTGGGGAATGAACTCAGGGGCACTCGACCACTAAGCCACATCCCCAGCCCTATTTTGTATTTTATTAGAGACAGGGTCTCATTGAGTGCCTCACTTTTGCTGAGGCTGACTTTGAACTCACGATCCTCCTGTCTCCACCACCTGAGCTGCTGGGATTACAGGTGTGTGCCACTGCGCCTGGCCTCATAACTTTTTCTTCAGCCTTAATCTGTTAAGTAGTTTTTTCTAATATATGTTTTTATAAATACCCTCCTGCCTCTCTTTGGCACATATATACCTCAGATATATACTCATCTGAGGGTATTTATAAGGGCATATACTAGAAAATAAAAACTTCCCAGGTTTTTATTTGTAAATGTTTACCATATAGCAACTTTTTTTTTAACTTAGTATCTTTTCTGGTTTTGATTTCTTCCAGTGTTCTGGTTATTTTTTAATGGTTTCTGACTCCAGGTTGGTTATGGCAGATATAATGAACAGTGCCAGTCCAGTCAGTCAGTCAGTGTTGTGTTTGGTCTGGTTGCATATTGAGAGCACTGGTCTTTCCCTCCTTGGGCCAGCTTGCTGGCCAGCAGGCCTCATGAACATAGCACCACCACTGCCAGGCACCAAAGGTAGTGGCTGTGGCCTGGCCAGGCCTTTCCAGGCTGCCTCTTCATTCTGGAGGAAAACGAAAACATGGTCATTTCTAGAAATTAGATATCAGGTTTATCTGAGGAAGTAATTCTAGGTTGGCAATCTTAGTCATCTGTTCTGCTCTTGTCAAGACTGATATATTGATGCATGATAACCCAAGAGAACTTTGTCTTGGTGTCCATCTTGACTCTCTAGGTGACCTTTATGGAGCTATAGGCTCTCCAGTAAGACTGACTCGCACCGTGGTGGTAGGGAAGCAGAAGGATTTGGTCCAGCGCATTCTTTATGTCCTGACCTACTTTCTCCGTTGCTCTGAGCTGCAAGAGAACCAGCTGACCTGGAGTGGGAATCACAGTGAAGGTGACCAAGTTATAAATGGAAGCAAGATTGTAACAGCCTTGGAGAAAGGAGAGGTGGAGGAGTCCGAGTATGTGGTAGTGACAGTGAGAAATGAGCCTGCTCTGGTACCCCCCATCCTACCAACAGCAATGACTGAGAGAAGGAGCCCTGGGCCCACAGGGTTAGCTGGGACTCCAGAGGGCACTGACATTAGAGACCTGGATCCCAGACCTGACAAAGAAGGAAAGAAGAGGCCAGACCAGGGATCTGAGGCTCATAGCATGGGGTTCCAAGAGCCAGAATTAGACAGTTCTTGGAAACCTCATCCCCTTTGTGGGGATGAAGGAAGTGAAAAAGAGGCACCATATGATGTCCCTTCGAGGTTTCCCAGGTGTGCCATTCCAGGGGCAGAAAAGAAGATCAGCCGGCCAGCTGCCAACGAGGAGCTGAAAGAGGAGATAACTAAGAAGCTACCTGAACGGTCAGCAGCCTGGCCTTGCCCTTGTCCTGACAGACATTCCCGAGAGAACTCTCCAGTAGAAAAGGTCACTTTCCAAATTGGAAGCTCCCTATCTCCAGAGTCTGACTTTGAAAGCCGCACCAAAAAAATGGAGGAGCGGCTGAAGGCCTGTGGACAATACCCAGAAGTGGCCGGTATCTCAGCCGAGTCCAGTGTGGCTGCTGACATGGCTGAGAGCCAGCAGGTTTCTAGGTGCTCCTTCAAGCCTGGCTTTCAAAAGAATGTCTGCTGTCCTCAGAATCGATCTTCTGACGGAGAGGAAGGTGAATCTGACAGAGGTTTTGCTGAGGACAGAGGTATCAGACCTGACGTGGCAGCAGATGCTGGGCAGCTCAGCCAAGCTGTTCCCACTGACAGTGCGGCGGGAACTGGAAGGAGAACACTGGAGACAACTAGAGGTTTGTATTTGAAAGATGTGGAAGGACCTTCATTAGAACCTGCCCCCAACAGGTGTGTCCAGCAGGTATCTGGCTTCTTGGTTGCTGCAGATGTCCCCTGTGGGGATGCCGATAGGAAGGCTGACTTCAGGATCGAAGGAGACATTCCCAGAAACGAAAGCTCCGATAGCGCTCTTGGAGACAGTGACGATGAAGCATGTGCTTCAGCCACATTGGATCTAAATCACAGTGGTGACAGGACTGAAGGGACCTTAGAAGTGGAGCTGCCTCTGCCAAGGTAATGCTGGCAGGCTGGGAAGCAGAGGGGACTGGGATCTAGTGTGTTCCTGGCCTGACAGTGTGATCATGGTGGCTACTGTGGGCTACTTTACACATGGTACTTTTCTTTTTCTCTCAAAATATAGAATTGTTACCAAATAAATCAATACAAAAGTTTTCCAACCTGGGCTGGGGCTGTAGCTCAGTGGCAGAGTGCTTGCCTAGCATGTGTGAGGCACTGGGTTCTATCCTTAGCACCGCATAAAAAACTAAACAAATAAAGGCACGCTGTCCATCTACAACTGTAAAAAATAAAAATAAAAAGTTCTCCAACCTGCTCCTCCTCCAAGGAGGCTCACTAGCTCAGGGTGGTACATCTCTCTAAGGGAGTACCAGGGGTTGTCTCTGTAGCTCTTCTGACATTTGGGGAAAGGTAAGGGAGGTGGTGTGCGGAACAGGGAATCTAATTTTCTGTGGTCACATGGAAGGTAGATGGCTGGCAGCAGATGCCTTGACTCAGAGGTGGTGGATCACACTTGCTGTGGGCCTCCTCTCCTGCTGCTCAGAGCAGCGTGAGGTGGTTGGGAAACAACACCTCTTCCTTAACACTCCATCAGGTTGATTATTTGGTCTGTGATGACTGAAAGCAGTAATTAGAGATTTCTTCTGTTCTTCCACACTGCTGTGAGTACCACCCTGTGCAGATAGGTCAAATTCCTAAAGCCAGACTCTTGGCAAGAGCCCCCCTCCCTCCCAGACCTCCTCTTTCACTATTTTGACAGACGTCTGGTGGAACGTATGAGGTCCAAGAGCAAAATCTTAACCGGTTGTGGAAATACTTTGTTTTTTTTCCCAGGCTTCCATTTTTAAAGAAAATTCCCTTTTACTAGTTTCACTCTCCTTCTTTTCTTATGCCAATGATCAACTTACGGGAGGATTGGTAAAAAGTCAACCACCCTGAATCTGTTTTATTTACTTGTGTCATTGAGATTTTTGTTCTGTTTGGAATGCAAAGAAGAAAGTACCTGAGTTTTTAACTCTGTGTTTTAATGTGCCAAATATTGTTTTAGGTCTCAAAGCATCAGCAACCCAAATGTAAGAAACTTTGGCCGCTCTCTCCTGGCGGGTTACTGCCCCTCATACATGCCTGATCTGGTGCTTCATGGGACCAGCAGTGATGAGAAGCTGAAGCAGTGCCTGGTGGCTGATCTTATCCACACAGTGCATGTAAGTGGAGCCACTGGCCACTAAAAAGGTGTTGGCCGAGGCTGTGGCCAGCAACAGGTGTTTAGAATAAAGAGCCTTCAATTAAGGGATTGTTTTTAGAGATGTGACCAGGGTTACGGGAACCCACAAGGGCTGGCGAAGCACCCAGAGACAGGCTATAAGCACACCTGGGCCAGAAGAAGTAAAGGGAGGGATCGTGACAGCAGAGCTGTGGAGAGCTGAAGCCTGGGAGAGGGGCTGCTGGCTGCAGTCTCCCCTCCCATCCTCTCATCCTCCTATTGGCTGAGCCCAGCTGGAGGCTAGAGAGCAAAGGCATAGCTGATGCAGATACGGTGCTATGGTCCATAGAGGTCAGCCTCCTGGGGCCTAGAATAGGACAGAGAAGGGCAAAGGGGGTGGGGAGGCCAGGCAAAGAGAATAAATAGCACAGATGGTGACAATTATACACCCTCCCAGGGAAGACTGAGGAGATGTCACATATGGTTTGCTTTTTATTCGATCCTTACAAGTTCTTAAAAGTAATTTATTTTAACTGATTTGTCATTAAGTTCACTTTGATGGTTGCGTGAGGATGACTGTATAAAGATTAACAAGTCTTTCTGGAAAATTGCCTTGTGGCTTCCGTTAAGTGCTTTTCTGCTATCTGCAGCGTGACAGGAATTGAGCAGTTAAGAAAACTGTGTCAATCTGATGGGCCTGTTTTTAATTGAGCTGCTATTGGGCAGATGTGCAAAAATAGATGTTTTGCATTAGAAGCATATTGTATCTTGTGCAATAAGGGAAAGTCTTCATTACATTAAGAAAATTTAAAGTTGGCATGTTAGCTAGCCCCCTATCCAACAAGTTTTCTTTTTGCAAGGTGGAACTGAAGGCATGGCATATTATCTTTGGCCTTGGGCATATCCCCTGTAAAGGCTAAACACACATCAGACAGGCTAAATAGGCTGAGGATATTTGTATGAAGTGGGAAGAAAAGCTCAGTAGGGAAGCAGATGTCCTCCAGACTCCTAGGAGGTAAAGAGTTGAGGGCAGGGCGGGTGTAAGCTGGGGAAGGCCCTCCCAGTGTACATGTGCACCCAAACATTCCTAATTCCACCCTCCTTTGTGGTCAGAACCATCCCTTACCAGGATATTCCTGGAATGAAGCTATGAAATTGATTTTGTCTCCTTAAATAAGATCATCATTCTTTTTCCATAGTTAGCATACTCACTTATCGTTTCAGAAGTCCGTACATCAATGACCCTAATATAAAAGCATGCCCTCAACACATGGCATTATCTGAGTTGTCCTAAATGCTGTGTGATACCAGGCAATTTTATAGACTGCACTTGTGTGTTTAGTAGCTCTCTGGAACATTAAGGTGTCAGGGGAATAGAGGACCTCATTTCCTTTTCTGCCAGCATCTTATGTGTTTGTATCCATATTTGCAAAACCTGTATTTTCCTTCTGCTCTGCAGTTTGATTCCTGAGAACATTGGTGTTGCTCATTGGACCTTTCTTCTACAAAGCCCTGTATTCTGCTTTTGACTCCTTTTTCTTTTTTTGGTTGGGCGGGAGTGGGTACTGGGAATTGAACCCAGGGGCACTCAACCATTGAGTGACGTCCCATCCCTTTTTTATTTTTCATTGTGCGACAGGATCTCACTAAGTTGCTAAAGGCCTTCCTAAGTTGCTGAGGCTGGCTTTAAACTTGAGATATGCCTCTGAGTTGTTGGGATTACAGACATGTACCACAACGCCCAGCCTATGTTCTGCTTTTGACAGAGGCACCAGGAGATTGCATGTGAGCTGTTGGGATCATCTTCTGTGACATCTTACCAAACTGGGGAATTTTGCCCAAATTCCCTAGACTAATTCATTAACCAAGAAGGAAATGTAATCTATTGGATTGATATCCCTCCTTAACTTACTGTAAAACCATTCATGAAATTTTAAAATATTTTCTATAGACTGGCAAATTACAATTTCTGAATATCAGATTTTCATTGGTGACCATCAGTCTTAGATTTGGAAAAAAAAAACAAACATAACCATATTTGCCCTATCATTCTTCTTAAAGCTTTTCCTATTTCATCTTCTCTTTTTAGAAGTAGTGTTTTCACACTGTAGCATTTCTCATTTCTTTAAACTCTGCAGTCACCCTGAGAGAGATAGTTATTATGCACAGTTGCCTATATCATTGTCAGATTGTGGGTACATCCAAAGTGCAGCCATGCATGGGTGTTAATAGGAAATGGTGAAGGGCTCATAAAAGTATCTTCACAAGTTTAATACGTTCATAATATATTCAATTAGCATTAGTGGATTTCTAATTTCACTTGACATGTTGATCATAATGAGTTTTATGTTTTGAAGTAGTGTTCTCTTTAGACTGCCTCTCAGACTGGCAGTCTGGTCTGTGGCGGGCTTAGTTTTTGTATTTTGTTTTTGCTTTACTTTCAACTTGAATTTACAAATATTTGTTGAAAATAAATTAGAAGTACTTTTTAAATAATAAACTTACTGCTCTGTAAGGCACAGTATACTAGTTATTTAGTTTCATGAGATGTTGCCAGAGAAAGAAGACTCAAGAACAAGTCGAGCTGAAAGGAATAAGCTCACTGAGGACGAGAAGATTAGAATAAAGAGCCTTATTATTGCTTGTTTTCAAAACCTGTCTTTTGGACATAAATAATTTTCAGTGTTCATGCCAATACCAGGCTTTGGTATTCATAATTCTTTTTAGAGAAGGATTTTTAATAACTGTTTAAAGGCAATTGACTTAGGTTATTGATCTGTTTTTGAGACCAGTGCATGACTTGGATGTAAAATCTGTCGTACATAAATGTGGATACATTTGGAGTTTCTTCTCCAGAGCTTAAGGAATTTCTTTCTAGAGTGTCCAATACTAGAACTTTCTTTTTGTTCTTTCCATTATCCAAGTCTCTTACAAAAGAAAGAAAGATTAACTTTACTTCATTATTTTCATTTTTCATTGCTTTTCACATGTTAAGATTTAGATGTTCTTCAAATATTTAAACACGTGTTCTTGTTTAGCCCGTGTACTGCCTCTTTTCTGTCATTTGAACTCTTTCTGTGCTCCTAATGTATAGGTTATACAGCTGCCTTAAATTAGTTCAAAGTAATATTGTTTCTTTTTTTTCCCCTGCCACATCTAAATATGCATTCTTTCCTGTTTTCCTTTGACTTGAAAAATCAGGGAGGCAGGGGGATAAGCCACTAGCACACTGTACCTATGACCCTCAAGTCAATCATTTTTTTCTCTTTTTCCCCTCCTGCATCCTGTGGGCTTGTGAATTCTGCAGACTTGGGGAACATTGGGGTTTTTCTAAACCACTGGGCACTGAGGGTAGTGGAAGAGCACCAGCTTGGCATCAAGGGCTTGGTATTACCACTCATTCATTAACCTTAGGTAAATCATTTGCATTGCTAAGTCTCAGAATGTGTTTAGAGGATCAGATGGAATATAGTCCAGTGGTTAAGAGTGACTTTTGAAGACAGACCTTAGTTTGAATGGTAGCTTACCTCTTGATGGCTTTGCGGCCTTTTAAGCAAGTTTCTTTGGTTTTCTAATCTTTAAAATGGTCACGACTGATGTCACAGGTTTGGTTAGAGATTCTGCAAGATAATTCACATCAGATGTTTAGGATAGTGCCTGGTACGTGACTAAATGCCCAGTAAATGTTAGCTATTAAGATAATACATGTGCAAGTGCTTTGTAAGTGATAAAGCAATACAACATGTTTCTAATATGAAGAGCAAAATGACAAGCATTATTTTAGTAAAAATGAAAGTACTGTCTGAGAGGGTTATATGCAGATGCACTCAAAGCTATCCTGACCAGTCAACATCCTTGTCCTTTCCAGAAAGCTCCTGTCAGAGGTGAGTAGATGGAACCACAGACTTTCACTCAGTGCTGAAGCATCTCCTTCCATTTACCTGTGATGTCATAGGGAACTCTGCTGGGCAGGGTCATTAAGACCAAAATTAACATCACATTATAACTTTTTAAAAATGATGCTCCAGAGCTTCAGGCATTTTACAGAATAATCTATAAAATGAAATAACAGTTGGATATAGTAGCTTCTTCCATTTAATTTTAAGAATAGCAACAGATTGACTCCAGAAATAACCATGCAGGAATTGGTAGCACAGATAAGGAGCTTTGCTAAAAGCATGGCTGTGATGTATGCTCATGAATACCTAATTAATCCATGCAGGATATCACCAGTAAGACTACAAAACAACAGCAAGTCCCATCAAACAGTTAATCACTGCTTTAAGCAACACAGTTAACATGTGCCTCCGGTCAGTAACAACCTTAGAATCAATAGGTTGCAGATGAAACGGCTATGTAGGACAAGCCGGCTGTTTAGAATACCCTTGTTGCTTTCATATCCCTGGGTTGGATAATGAATATGCCAATGCCTTGGGCCTGTACCACTGTCTTCTAGTCTATAGACCTGAATGCAGCGCTACCTGGGCTAGGAGCTGCCTTTGGAGGGTTTATTAAAGTACATGTTTTAGCCTATAACTGGGTTTTCATGACCAGTTTTTTAGAATAATGTAGAGTAGAACTGAAATCATCACAGATAGGCAGGGTTATTGTTTAGTGAGAGCTGTGTGTGAGTATATGTGCATATATGTTCAGATGTACGTACATATTGTACATTCACTTTGTACAAACATGTATACTGGGTCAGAAGTCTTATTTCTGCCAAGAGGGCTGTAGGTACCTTGAAGCAGAAAACAGACTTACTCACTTCCTTCATACCCACGCCCAGTACCTCATCTGTACTGTCACATTGAAAGTACTCACTAATATTAGTTGACTATTCCGTGTTTAGTGGAGTGTGTATTTGTTAGTACAGGTAAAACTTCATTAGGTAGCATGCCTCTTTCTTCTGAAGTAAAAAACAATGGCATATGGTCTTTCTTTTAAAAAATAAAAGGGCTGAGGCTGGGGCTCAGTGGCAGAATGAGGCACTGGGTTTGATCC